AATAACAATAAAATAATTAATAATAATAACAGTAACAAAATGATTAAAATAGTTATAATTAGAATAATAATAATAATAATCAAATAATCAAATTACTATTTTAATAATATTTTAAAAAATATATAAAATTTTTTATTTAAATTAAAGAGGACTAAAATATGCTCAATCTGATATATCATACATATTTTTAGGATTAAAATTAGACTTTTGGTAAATTTTTAATTGAAATTTGATTTAAAATATACTTAAAAAACTAATTTAAACTTAATTTAATCAATAATACGGTGGCGGGCGATGTGGTGTACGCAAATTGGCTCTGCGGATCCGTGGTGGTGGCACCCAATCATGGGCAATTATTGGCGTCGCCGCACAATCATTGTACGATGATTACGGTAGCGGCAGGACCCACGAGACTTTAATTTAAATGAGTCAACCGCTCCATAGAGCGTCTGATCTTTCGTCTTTTTGAACGAACGATTGTGATGCAACCGAACTAATAGCGCAGCGAAGGATCAGACCGCGGGAGTTGATGTGGAAGCAAATGCGACGAGATCCAGACCGTTGATCATGGGATCAACGGTTTGAAACTCGTCCAACCCATACACGCCTAAAACCAAGAACCCTAAAGTAATAATCGCCTCGTTTGATCGATAGGGTGGACCAAACATAATGAAATTTTAACCATGATATCTATGTATGAAGAGCATCTATGGGAAGGTGAAATTATGCTCTAAGACGCGTTGTACAAAATGTTATTTAGGTTTAAGTGTCCTAAGTTAAGGTTAGGGTTTTACCTCAATCCAATGGATGGATTCGGGAGATCTTGGGTTCTCCAAAATTTTAGACTGTCCATGAGTAAATTTGGAGAAGAAACCTTGACCTGGTCAACCAGGTTGACCTAGGGCATAGGTCTGGGACCAATAGGTTGGGTCTGACCCATTGGGTCCAGTGGTGATGAGAATTGAATGTAAGAAGCTTTGGATTTGATTTGAAATAAGAAGAAATCATATGGGTCAATAAAAAATATTTTTTATTTTTTATTTTTTATTTAATTTTCAATGAATAATAAATAGAGCCTTTAAAAAACATATATTTATATTTATTTATGTAAATGCCTGGATCAATTGCCTGGATCAATTGCAAATGGCTTTGGAAGATTTGAGATCTCGGTTGGCCGGAGATCTTGTCGCCGACGGGTGTTTGATGGTGGATCTAGGTGGGGGAAGGTGAAGAGGAATCCAAGGACCTCACACAAGCAAAAGCTCGGGCTTGGGGGCTCCTGGAAGAAAGAAAATAGAAAAAAAAGGTCTCCAACATGAACCCTAAACACACTTTTTATAGCCCTAGGCTTTGAATGAATGGCCTAGATCTACTCTAGGGTGAATTAGGAGGGAGAGGAGGAGATTAACACGGGATTTGGCTCTATGGAGCAAAAGGAATGTGTTTAAATGCATTTAATAGGTTTAAATTAACTTAAATAGGTCAAGTTTGACCATGTAAGACTTGATTTGACCAGGTCAAAGGTTGAATCAATCAACATGATCAATTTGACCTAAAGAGATCAGGGATGGACCCAAGGAAGTTTGGAATTGAATTAAAACTTGAAATAACCCTAAAGAGCGAACTGGGTCAACCTAAGTTGACCTAGGGCACAGGTTTGGGACCAATAGGTTGGGTCTGACCCATTGGGTCCAGTGGTGATGAGAATTGAATGTAAGAAGCTTTGGATTTGATTTGAAATAAGAAGAAATCATATGGGTCAATAAAAAATATTTTTTATTTTTTATTTTTTATTTAATTTTCAATGAATAATAAATAGAGCCTTTAAAAACATATATTTATATTTATTTATGTATAAGACATTTATGTAAAATCTAAAGGCTCTTAGGTCCACCACAACTACCCACCACCAAACCCTAATATTATGCAGCCTCATTTCTAACCATACCCTCTTGCGACATTATTTAAAAAAAAAAAACCATACCCTCTTGCGTGTACTATCCACTCAATATTGCCCCATCATTAATCAAACTAGTTTTTCATGAGTTGTCAATTGAATTTACATAAATAAAAAATTTAATGTATTGCACAATCATCCAATTATTATAAAATCTCTCTCTCTCTCTCTTAATGAAAGTAGATAAATATTTGAGGCTTCGAATTGATAATAATATAGCTTTTTACTGATTAGATTTACAGTCAATCATCTCTTACATTTGAACAGAGAATCAGATTGCAATCCATTTATCATTATAAAAATCAGTGTAGGATCGATCACTCAGCACATCATATCGGTCTCATCCAAATGTTGTAAGATAAAAGGTAATTAATCACCGAAATTTCATTAGAATTTTCATCTACTCCTGACATGTTGAGGCCCCCCACCTCCACTCAATCACACTATATACGCTCGTCACCACCCCCCTCCGAATTACCCTCACCTCAAACCATCCACGACGATCAACATCCAAACCCTAACCCTAAAACTCGATGTCGCCGGCGACGATAGCCTTCGCCGGAGTGATCGTGGTGGCGGCGATCTATTGCGGAATGAATCCCTTCAATCACGGCGCGATGGCGGGATTCCCGGGGTTCGAGACGTACAAGGTGGAGCTCGCGCCAGCGACGGCGGTGCCGTCGGTGGTGGACTCGGAGAACCGGCTCACGGCGGCGGAGGTGCGGTTCATGGATCAGGTGCAGGGGCCGGAGAGCATTGCCTTTGATCCGAGCGGCGGAGGGCCGTACACCGGCGTTGCGGATGGAAGGGTTGTGGTTTGGGATGGCGAGAAGTGGAAGGATTTTGCGTTTACTTCGCCAAACAGGTCAGCTATCTCTCCTTTTTCTAGCAGATGAAGCAGTTAGCATTTCTATTTATTTTTTTTATTCGAAATTTCTGAATTTCTGTGCAAGGTAGTATTAAAATTGGCCTCTGATCTGCTTCTGTTGAAGGAATTTCCGTTTTGGTCTTTTCGATGGTTACTTTTTTTTTTTATTGTTATTTTTACAGTTTAAAATATTTTAAATAATGAGGGATTTGCATAAATGTCATAAGAAGTTTATGTATTTATAAAAATAAATATTTATATTTTAATACTTAATTATATAATATTTAAATTTTAAAACATACTAAAAATATCACTAATATTCTTTTTTTTATAATATTCCGTAATATGATATAAATCTCTCCAAAATATTTTACACACATATTTCTTAATTTTAATATAATTATATATCTAACGTTATATTTTTTTTATAACTAAAACACATAAAAACTAGTATTTATAATTGTTTTTATCAGATATAAAGGGTTATATAAATAAATATAATTATAAAGTATTAGATTTGGAAATATAAAAGAACAAAGTGGTATGCATGTAAATCAGATAAAAAAAAGTAATTTGTTTGTCTGTAGCTGTGTAGCAGGTTAACCAGGTGCTGCGGTTGGATAGCATTGGCATATTCTCGAATGTTTTATTAATTAATTTACTATTTAATCATTTCAAGGCTTTTAATTCCACTTTTATTCTGCTCTTAATTTTCTTAATTTTTTATTTTTTAATCTTTAAATTATTAGAAAAAAACGTTTTGTCGTTCTGAATTCTTATTTTTTTGTGATTTTTTTTTGCAATGTTTATAATTGGTATCTATTTTTGCTCGTGGTAGAAGTTTGGATAAGATGCTTTTATGTTAATATTTTTATTTAAATTTGACCTTTATATATATATATATTAAAAAGCTGCTTTTAAAATAGTAAGAAAGCTATCCAAAACCAAGCCTTAGGCTTCGTTTGTGCCAACTTTCTTACTCCTTTATGAGCAATTTTTTAATACATTATTTTGCATTTAAAATGTTTGTACTAAAAAGTTGTTTCATAAAACAGTAAGAAAGATGTCCCAAACAAAGCCTTAGGTTTTCATTTGGAATGGCTTTCTGACTGCTTTTAAAACAATTTTCTAATACAAAAATTAAAATTTTTGTACTTAAAAATTGCTTTAAGAAGCAATAAAAAGCGGTCTCAAATGAAGCCTTAATCTCTATTAAAATGTCAAAGAATTAAATTGGTGCTTTTTATAAAATCGAAAACTATTTTGTTCATCCAAAATAATTAGGAGACCAATTAGTTGCTTTTTCAATACTATATATTATATTATATTATATCGTTGGATGAGTTTCATTTGAGTTTTGATGATTTCGGAACTTTAGCCTAATTTCGAAAAAAAATTATCCATTTGCTGTCCATTTCTTATTGGTCTAGATCAGATAAGTGTTATATCATACCAAAATAAAATAATAATAATAATAATTAAAAAAATAATTCCAAAGATTTTAGTCGAATTTAGAAAAAAAAAAAAAAAACAGTGATATCATGAGTGGTGTTAATTGTGATGTCCCTGGAGTGGGGAGCATCCATTTCAGGAAGCTTTAAATGATGGTCTCTGTCATCATCATAAAGAATCAATGGGCAACAGACATCAATGCCATCTCTTCAGTCCAACGGCCATTTTTAAGAGCGAATTACATCTTTCTGACATTATTTGGTTGGCTTCCTTTCAAGAAATAAAACACTGGCCCACTCCATTTGTAGATTTGGTCTAACCACGGCCCGCATATATGGGAAGATTCAGGAGAATCAGCCACGTTAGTGTCTATATTTATTGTTCTGTATTGTTGAAATTAAATTTGCTAGCAGGTACCATAGAAATTTTACTCAATAAGGATGATGGAGTAACAACAGATAAACAGAGGGAGGAGGTTTATAAATTATATGGCATTGTTTAATGAATGCTGCAATTTGCTAATGATACATTTTTAACTCTCATTGATTAATTATCATATATAATTAGGATATAATTATACAAGTATTCAACATAAATAATAATACTGAAATGTGAAATATGATATAATTATATAGACATAAAAACTACTGAGCAAACACATAGAAATGAAACAAAAGAACAAGTGATTTTATTAAGGTCTAGATGCCTATATCAACAACCCAAAGCTTTGTCAACTTCTTTAGCTTTGGATTGAGCAATTGAATTCCATTTTCTAATGGGCCATTAGATTAATGAATTTCTAATGCATTAATATGTTTTAGACATACTCTTTCTCTCGATTTTAGATCCTAAAATTATATGGCATTGTTTAATGAATGCTTGAAAGAAAATGAATATTATTGCATGTTGTTACCTGACATGCCACATGAATAATATAAAATGTTGAGTCTGAAGTGCATGAATCTATCAAAACTAGGCCTCTTCTTCTTATGAAAAGAAGATGCATGATGATGTCCCATCTTGAGTGGGTATGCACATGTGATACATTCTTGAGCCGTCTCTACTCCGCAACTTCGTTTCCTAGACTCTTATTTGCAGATGCTAATGTCCTTAATTTCACATGTAATTCAAGTTCATCTTTATGTAGTTTCCAATCGTTATCTTGTAGTAGGTTATACTTTTTTTCAAATTCTTTGCATAGATTCTTGTTCTGCTAATACTTTCCTAGACCCCACTAAATCATGCAATAATATGTTATACTTTTTCTCTAATGCAGCAAATTTATTTTTAAAATTAGAATATTTTTTCATGAAAGATTTAAAGCTGACATATAATTTATTAGTCATACAAAGTAACTCATCATATATAAAACAAGACTTATATCTTATTGGTGTTTGGGACACCCTAGCCATCTTTAGCCATTAAGCATTAATTGTTCATCTCTTGTGGATCATTCTGTATTCAGTTGGTCCAAGCTTTCCATATCCTTCTTTTGAGCTACAAGTTCCCATCTTCCTTTGCATTTTTCTCTTTCTTACTATAGCCTTTTATATTAGAACACTCTCATTTTATTTATCTAATTTTTTTACATTCAAAATAGATAATATCAATAGCAATTTTTAAATTATTTTTACCTCTTTCTTTTCCTCTTTATATTTCATTTCAATTCTTTTTTTAAGGAGGGTGAAAGATATATGTATTAGTTAGCTAAGCAAAGAGATAGAAGAAGTAAGGATTTAGTTCAAGTGAAGTGCATTAAGAATGAAGATCAAAAAGTTCTTTTATTAAAAGAGGATATTCAACAAATGTAGAAGAGATATGTTGATAAGTTTTTCAATAAAGATTGTGAGAATACAATTGAATTTACTAACCTTAGCACCTTGATTGAAAATAAAGATTTTTGTTTTTATTGACATAATAGTAAAACCGATGTTAGAAAGGCTTTAAAGAAAATAAAGTGTGAAAAAGCTGTTGGATCTGATGATATTTCAATAGAGGTGTGAAAATGCTTAGGAGATGAAGGAATTTCTTGGATTACAAAACTTTTTAATATTATTTTGAAGACTAAAAAGATATCAAATGAGTGAAGGAGTGTTGATTCTGATTCTTAAAAATAAGGTTTATGCATTAGAGTGTATGAATTATAGAGGAATTAAGTTAATGTATCATGCTTTAAAACTATGGGAAAGAGTTAATGAGCATAAGTTACGATGTGATACTAATGTTTCTCAAAATAAATTTTGATTCATGTCACATAGGTCTACTATGAGAGCTATACATTTATTGAGAGGTTTGATGAAAAAGTATAAATTGAATAAGAAAGATATATATACATATATATATATATATACATATATATACATATATATATACATATATATACATATATATATACATATAATATTTATTGATTTAGGAAAAAACATAAAATAAATTTTCAAGAGAAGTGCTTTGGAGATTTCTAGAAAAGAAAGGGGCCGGTTAATAATAGTTATATTCAAGTCATAAGGATATGTATACAGGAGTTATTACTTGTGTTCAAACATAAGATGGTTTGACAAAGTATTTTCCTATTTCAATTGGATTGCATCAAGGATCAGCTTTACGTCCATATCATTTTTTCTCTAGTCATGGATGTTCTTACTAGACATTTGCTAAAGGATGTACCTTGGTGTATGCTTTTTGCTAATGGAATTCTTCTTGTTGATAAGGCTAGAGGAGTTGAAGGTATACTTGAATTATGGAGGCCAATCTTAGAGTTTAAAGTTTTTTGTTTGAGTAGATTGAAAGCCAAATGCATGGAGTGTAATTTTAGTAGTATAGTAGAGGGACTTTGACTTTGGGTGATAAAGTCATAAATAATTATATATGTTTTAAATATCTCAAAACTATTATTTAAGGTGATGGTGAAATAGACGGTGATATTATTAGTAGTGTTGCGGGCTAGAATATATGTGGAGATAGAGTTATAATTTTACGTCTTAGAATTGCACGGATATCCAGCTCACACACAGAGAACACAATATTTTTTTACGTGGAAAACCTTGGAAAAGGGAAAAACCATGTGGCCTAGCCCAGTTGAAAAGATTTCATTAGAATTTGAGTTGATTACAGTGGGCCGACTCGTCCCAGAGGGCGATCAGATTACAAATGTCAACCATATGATTGAAGTTTAGTGTAAAATATGACATCACTTGGAAGTTGGGGCGTCAGTTAGTAGTTGACAGTGATTTGGTAGAATTCTGGCGTCAGTTGATGGTCTGGCGGAGTTTAGGGCCTCGAGTGTTGGTTTGGCCAAGTTCAGGCCCTTAGGCGAGGATCCAGTGAGTGCGAAGGCCTAAGGCCGTGATCCAGTGAGTGTGAGGGTCTCCGGTGGTGGTCCGGCTATGGCGAGGGCCCCAGGTGGTGGTCCGGCAAAGGTGAGAGTCTCAAGTGGTGGTCCGACGAAGGTGAGGGCCTCAGGTGATGGTCCGGCGAACGCGACGTCCTCAGGTGGTGGTCCGGTGAAGGCGAGCGCCTCAGGTGGTGGTCCGGCGAAGGCGAGG